TTGGCTTGCTTGTTGGTCCACTCACTGCAAGCTTCTGCCTGATTTCTCATCAACCACCGATTTTAAGGCATGGCCAGTATACGTAATCAAGTGTGTTTTACAAATTATCCCATTTGGAATCGCTGGAGCATACCACTGTATTATGGCAAAAACTTTCTTTCATTTCGGTGCCTCACAGTAACATGGGATGTCTCCACACACACAGAAAACCCTTTGATGAAGCCTGGATGTACTGTATAAAAGGCTCATGTATTCTTCCAGGCTTTCCTTGGGGGCACGGAGGAAGCAAAATCCCGTTTAGACCATGTGGTGCATCCACTGTTTAAAAGATCACACTATCCAAATAGCTACAGGTTTCTGGAGGTTGAGAAAATCGTGGCCAACACCAGAAACAAAAAAGAGGTGGAAACCCTCTGAGTCATTCAGGGAGACAAACTGACAACAGCCGGCAAGAGGAGCCTTCAGGTTCTGAAGGTTCCAGCTTTCAAGTTCCCACTGTCACCTGCCAGCTTTGTGACCTTGGACATTATCATGGATTTCAGCTCCTTTGCGACATGGGGAAACACGGGCCCTCTCTAAGGTAATAATGAGCAGATGGTAACAGCTGTACATGAAAAGCACCGACTCTTGCCAAGTTCCCTAACCTTAATATCCCAGGGCTCAACTGCCCACCCTGCAGGACCACACCTGACTATCAAATCAGAAGGTGAGTGAGTAGCCTTTGTTTCTCCTTCAGTTACCATGCAGACTTGGAGCATTAGATCAGTGTGTATACTAGACTTTTAAGTAAAATGAGCTGTTAAAACACGTGCATAGTGGGAGGACACCTGGGTGGCTCAGTGGGTTAAGCCTCTGCCTTCAGCTCAGGTCATGATCTCAGGGTCCTGGGATTGAGCCCCGCATCGGGCTCTCTGCTCGGCAGGGAGTCTGCTTCCCCCTCTCTCTTCCTGCCTCTCTGCCTACTTGTGATCTCGCTCTGTCAAATAAATAAATAAAATCTTAAAAAAAAAAAAAAAACTTGCATAGTGGGAAATGGTAAGGGGCAACAGCAAACCAATGGTTCCCTAGAGTAAAAGGGGGTCAGCTAACACCCTAAACACTAAATTCTAAAACACACTTGGTATTACCAAGCTTAAACTCTGCCAAACAAGTCATTTTGGCTAACATGGATAATTAAAGTTAAAAGCATACTAAAATAACACTTTAGCTGTTGACCTTGAAGGTCCTTTTGAAAAACTCAACCCCAACAATAGCACACGAAGGAGTGACTTGACTCTCCAATGATAGCATCACATGGCAACACAGCAGACACCTTAAACCTTCTGCGTTCACACATCAACACCGATGTAACGGGGAAGTTGGATGCACTGATGAGAGGAGGAGGAGGAGAAAAGAAAGAAAAGCTCAAAGCATCAGGCAGAATAGCCCTCCCACCCCCCCCCCGCTGCCGCCCAACACACACACACACACACACACACACACACACACACACACCTCTCCCGTTGGGCCCAGATTGCCCTTTTTAAAACAAACAGTGAAACACTGATCACTACCAGCTTTACAATGTCTCTCAAGAGAGAAATTTTGCTGAGGACAAATAACCACAGTTCTTGCCAAAAGCACACTGACTACCTACCCACAGTAGACGCTTGAATGTTGACTGAATTATCAATTCCGAGTGAGATCATCTACGTCTAATCACAAAGCCCCTCTTTTGCTATGTTATAGTCTTAACTCTTAAGTAACTGGAAGAACACTTTTGACAGATCATGGTGGTAACGTGGTTTGAGCATTACTTTGGCTAATTCATCATAATTCATTACGACAGCATGAAAATTATCTGCAAATCATGCCTAAGCTTAAGTGTCATTTCAGTTTGGTTTGGGGGTACCTGGGTGGCTCAGTGGGTTAAGCGTCTGATTTTGGCTCAGGTCATGATCTCGGGATCCTGGGTTAGAGCCTGGCATCTGGCTCTGCACTCACTGGGGAGTCTGCTTCTCTCCGTCCCTCTGCCCGTCCCCTGCTCATGCCCTCTCTCCCTCTCTCAAGTTAACAAACAAAATTGTTAAAAATAAATAAATTTGGTTTTGAGTGTAGAAGGATATTCTGGTTAGGATAGTATATCATACAATATTCTGGTTAGGTCTAAATTCGTAAAACCATTTCCTCCTTTACCTTTTGCCACATCTTCCCTGCAGCATGGCATGAATGAGCAGTTACTTAGCTTTGTTCTGTAGTAATGGGACTCAAAGTAATTTCAAAGGTTGCAGGAGAATGTGGCCAAAATGGAAAAGGCAGGAATTAAATAGAAAACGATCTATTTAATTTTAATTCAGTCCTCCAGTGTGCCAATCAGGAAGACTTAAGCAATCTCTCCTGTCAGAAATCTGAGAAAGGTGCCTTCACAGAGAACTCACCAAGCAAAACCTCAAGTACGACTTACTATGGGGTATTTGACAGACACTCAGCCTGGTGGAGAAGAGAGATACTGTGACAGCCCTGAGCTCAGTGAGTTTACTTTGTCCAACAATTACTGAATTACATGATATTTCAAGGGGAGGAGAGGTGGCAGAACAGAAGACCAAAACTAAAACAAGTTTCACAGTTAATACCAATTCCTAAAAAGTTGTTTTCAAAGCCCAGTCTCAAATACATTTCACTCAGAATACATGGTCCTAGAACTGAAATAATGACCATGGATGGGACATGTATCGGGGCTTGACTTACTGTTAAGAATCAAGAATAAAGCCTGTTTGCTATAGTCCAAGGTCTCATGGAACCTGTACTTACCACACCTACAGACAAGAGAAGCACAAATCTTTAATCAACATAGCAAGGACAGCACCTTTTCCTTCCCCGGACTTCCTGTGAAAAGCTCACAGCACTGTCTGCAGTGAGGACATAGTGTTGAGGAAGGCCTACCCTCCCCCCAATCGATCCACTACCAGAAATTATGTATTCTGATACACCACAGTCTCCTTTTGCAAAAATAGTATGTTACCTAACACTGGCTAACACTCAAGTGTGTTCAACTACGTTCTTTTAAAATTAATTATGAGTCTAGTTGCAAATTTCAGAAATGTTCATTTTAAGGACTTAACAGACTACATTATGAAAGCCTTAATATTTTAGGGTGACCATAAAGTGTGGAAACTATCAAACAGGTTTCTTTTACTCCATGACTGAAGCAGGTCACGTGAGCTGGGGGAAAGCAGGTGGGAGTGATTCCATTAAGGCTGCACAACATCCCATCACACCAGATTCATGAGAAAACCTGGACAACACTTTCCAGAGAAAGTGGCCATGTGGAGTGTTGTGGTTGTAGGATCTAAACCCCTTTGATTGTTGCTCCTGGAGTATGCTAAGTCCACAGGTACATTCGATGGAAAAAATAAAAATCAAGCAAACATCACAGATCTCTCCGTCTCCACGGGTGACTCATGTCCTTTGTTCACGGCCACTTTGCACAAGCATATTGAACTAGTAAGAGATGACCCACCAACTACACCATGCATGAAAATGTGGTATGGAAAGCCCTTTCTTGGTGTGTCTGTGCCTCATTTCCAGACTTCGTGGTCATCTTCTAATTTGACACAGAGAAGCTACCATTTGTGCTGGGAGCTTGTCACATCAACAAAAGCCTTTCACCAACCTGTGGTTGACACCACACACACTGAATGACCGCAGCATGCCTCCTTGAATGCAAAGAGCTCTGCTGGCTCTGTGGTTTACTCAAGAGTCATCCAGGCTGCAAAGAACTGGGTCCTGACCAGCTGTTCAGTGCATTTCACTACTGTACAGAGGCTGCGGCTGGCTCCCCGGGCTTCTTCCTCATTGCCTGACACCAAAAGGGTCACATGGCAAAACGAACTTCCTATCTCTGACAATCCATTCGCAGCCCAGCGCAAAGGAAGAACTTCCACAAGTTACTCCCTCTGTTTAACTGGGCAAGTGTCCGGCCCTCCCGACCGGCCGCCCCACCTTCCCAAACGCATGAAACAACCCTGCGGCAGGTCTCACCACCTTAATCCCAACCTGATTCCTCTGTCACAAGGCCAAGTCAGGGCAAAAGATTAACCAGTGGTCTTCGGCCACGGGTTCACGGACAGGGCCAACCATGGAGACGGAGCGCCAATTTTTTGTTTGTTTTAAAGGAAATACTTCCTGGCACACGTTTAGCGAAGACTCTGAACTCTGTCCATGAAGCCACGTGGTTGGTGCTAATCTAGCTCCATCCACTCACGATCCGCCAGAGCAACCTCTTTCTGAACGGCAGTCCCTGGCGGGGTAATCTACACCATCTCGGTCAAGTCACGCGGGCTCGGGCCGGATCCTGGGGAGCCCAGCTCTGCGTCCTCTCCTGGTAGCAGTCCTGACAGGGTCGCAGGGAACAGGAGGGAAGACATGGGTTGGGTCCCGGCGCTGCCCGGTGCAGCAGCACCAGTATGGGATTCACGTCAGTGGGGTGCAAACTGGCTCTTGCTGCTCGGGGGCATTTCGAGGGAGCAGGCAGGGGGACACCTGCCCTTCCAGGAGAGCCGCCTTTGCCACTGGTGGAGTGCGTGGGCACAGCACTTGCGGCGCCCACCTGTAGCCACAGCAAACAAACTTTCCTTCCGAGTCGGCACGATCCGGTCCCTTACGCCACCCCCCGGCCCCAGGCGGCAGCGGCCCGGAGCTCCGAGGGCTCCTCACCTGATACCCCTAAACCCCCAAGCTGGCCGGGTCCAGAGAGCAACCCAGCGCCGCCCACTCTCCCCAGGCTGGTTTTCCGGGAGAAGGAGTGGGGTTACCAACTGAGGAACAGGAATCTGTGACGAGAACGGCAGGAGGCTGCTCACTCCCTTCTGCAACTTAGCTCTCAACTTTGCCAACGACACAGCCGCTGCCCTCCCGCTCCTTCCGCGGCGCGCACCCGGCTCCCTCGGCTTCTCCAACGCAGTCCCCGGGGAGGGGGCTCCCCAAGGCCGGCGGAAGCCGTGCGCATCCGGCGTACTTACAGCCATAACGGGGTCTCTGCAGGGACGGCAACTCCTCGTGGGGCATCCTGCGCGGCTCTGGGGGCCCGCCCGAGGCGCGCCCCCCGCGGCTCCGCTCGCTGGCCAGGCTCGCCGGCTCCGCGCCCCTCCGGGGCGCTCGTGTCCGGCCTCTCGCTGCCCTCCCTCGGTCGCCCCGAGATGGGCGGCCCGCTCGCTCGATGCTCCCCGGTCGGCGCTCGTTGCGGCCGCCGCGCGCTCACACCCGAGCAAAAGTGAACTCTAGTCCCTCGCTCCGTCCCGGCCGCCGCCGCGTCCCGGGCAGGTTTCCTTTCTCCTGCAACCCGGCCCCGTTATTCTCCGCGGTGGGAGCGCGCGCCGCGTCGCAGCGACCCCTACTGCGAGCGGGGCGCAGCGCCCGGGCAGCCTGAGCCCGCCCCTTTACCCGCCCGGGCGGAGGAAGGGGCTGAGCGGGGCGCCGGGTCCGAGATCCCCTGCTGCTGGGGCCCGCGCGCGCCGCTGGCCGCCTAGGGGCTGCGGCCGCCCCGCCTGAATTTTCACTTCTGGAGGGTTCTGAGGGTGGAAGTGAACCCACGCGAGGAAGAGCAAGCAAAACCGCAGAAGATACAGGCTGCGCCGGTCGCCCGGGGTGTTGCTCAGTTACAGAAGAACAAACAGCGCGGTTCTTTGCCCTCTGGGGAGATTGCGCGGTGCTTTTTTTTTTTTTTTTTCCCCTCTCTCTCTTTTTTCTTTTTCTTTTCTTTCTTTCGAAAGTTGCTTCTGCGACTCCTTGTCTACACAATGCAGGGTTCCCCTTTCGTGACAAGAACTGAGAGGGTGTGCCTGTGTGTTGGGAGAGCGAGATAAACACTACCCAAGCAACCCCTCGAAACGCGAGCGCGAGTCGTCCTCGGCTCCCCTTCGGCGCGCTCCCCTTCCACGCCACGCCCGCGGCGTACGGAACAGCCGCCCGGCCCAGGTGGGGTCCACACCACAGAAACCTTTTCCGGCTAAGCTTGAAAGGAAATTAAGCTGCTTTCGACTCTTTCAAAAGGGGGTTTTCTAATGCGGTCGCCTGGAGCTGTTCTTTTTTTTTTTCTCTTGGTGCCCCAGAGTGGTAACATCTGGAGGCATGGGGACTGTTCTCTACCTGTGCCCTCTCCTGTCTGTCAATTGTGGGAGGCGTGGATGACCACGTGCTGCCAAAATAACTGAGGTGGAGTTGTGAGATGTTTTAATTGGAGAGAAAGGGCAGAGTGACACTCCTTTGAAGTATGCAAAGATACAGACCTCGGCTGGCTGTTTTCCGTCTCAGATGGGTGATGCAGTCCCTCGAAACTCAAGATTCTTGGGCCCTACCCTCAGAGTTGCCAGTTCAATTGGTGTGGGCTGGGGCCCATGAATTTGCATTTCTGACAAGCTGCGGGCGATGCTGACAGGGCAGATCTGCGGGCTGTGCTTACAGTGGTTCGGGGAGAAAACAGGCACGAGGGATTTCAGCTGGACTCAGGGAAATCTCATTCAGGCCAGCAAGAGGATTCTCTCCCTCTCCTATTTTTTTTCTTTTCTTTTCTGGAAACATTAGATTCTCACCTGGCTGCAATGGAATGAATGGGGTTTTTCTTCCCTAAAGAGCAGGTGCTTCTAATTATAAGAGCAATTCAGGGAGGAAAGAGCCACATTTTAAGTAACAGCACCCTGTTAAGTGTTCACCCAGAGAGGAATATGTGCAAGGAGAATTTTCTACACTTTGGAACATGCCGAATTAGAGGATAATCTAAACTTGATTCCATCTCCGTGATTCCTTATATTAACTATGAAGCTCTTACTGGCACCTATCAGTGTTCAGTGTGAGCGGAAGGTTTAAGGCCCCCCCCCCAAAAGTGCGTATTCTACCTCTTTAGAGATGAGGGGGAAGTCATAAACTTATAATGGCCAAGGAAGCTGATAGAATTTGAAAGCGTGCCTTGAGGTGGACCCTGAAGAGTGGGTTAGAGTTGGATGCACAATGTCTGCTCCAGGAAGACCCACAAGGACAAAGGCCAGGTGGTGGGGCATGAGGGTAAGGTAAGGGGTGGGGAGCGTGGGACCTGGTATCAGATTATGGAGGACACTGAGGTCAAGCTAAGGGGACTGGATGTTATCACAGGGGCATTTGAAAGCCCTTAAAATTTTGGGGTGGGAGCTGCATGATGCAAGGGAGTTCAGGGAAAGCAAATCTTGCAACAGGTTATGGGCTGGATTAGAGAAGGGACTACGGCAGAGGTAGAAGAGAGGAAAGCTTCAGTGATGTCCCCACCAGTAAATGGTAAAGGGGCAATTTTAATACAAATTAAGTTGGTGTCATCAACACTTACATGGCTACCGCAGATTGTAATGAGTAAATATCTGTTAAGGATAGAAAGTGAAGGTTAAAGCATAAATAGGCGCTCTGCAAGAAAGTCGTTCTAAATTCACGTTCTAGCAGATCAGTTCTTCTCTGAGGGCTCTGGGGTGGTTTCAAGCTCCATCACAACAAATGTTTCTATAGAGAACTTAACACTAAGAAGAAACAGTAAAAGCAAATGATTCTGATTTTTTTTTTTTTTTTTTTTTTTTGCAAGTGCTGGAATTCATCTTTGGGATTTCAGTCTGCATTCACTGGGTAATGGTACTATCTCTCAGATCACTCTTCTGCGGAATCTCAGAAAACAAACTTAGTCACAGAATTCTATTTTTTTCTCTTAGAGTTTGACATTGGTGAGGGAGTCAAATAAATACAAGGCAATGTGCCAGCATACTTTGCCATCTGATTGTGCTCACAAGAATATTAAAAACAAAAACTGAAGCCATCTAGCAAAAAAATCTTTTTTTAATAAAGCAAGAAGGGTTTTTTTCTTTAATGTGAAACAAAAGATGACATTGAAAAATTAGACCTAGTGAAACAATTTAAAGCAACATCGTTTTTAAAAGATGGTTTTCTAAGACTTACTCTTGACAAACTGAAAGGAGCATGAAGATCTTTGGAAAAAATGCAACTTTGTCTTTATAACTATACAAGATTAATTATACTAAAAGCATCAAACAGGATGAAAAAGTACATTTAACTAAATGTCTTGGCTTGCAACTTTAACATTCCATTCACCTGTGAAATAATTTGGTGATTCTCCAATATCATATTATTGGTCATTTTAACATTACCAGAACAGTGAACAATGTGCTTTCATAGCATCGCCCAAAGAAGTGAAGCATGAAGCAATGACAAGAAAGAAATGATTCAGAGTTTTTTCCAAGTCTTGGGAGCCCTTGAGTTGTTAAGATTTTCTACTCATTCTCCGTCCTGGAAAAGAGAGGCTGAGCGGGAACTGCACTTCTTTGCAACAGAGACTTCTATAGCTAAAAAGGAAATTATTACAGTCCAACATCAGATTTAAAAAAAATCAAAACAAATAAATGCAACCATCAGTGTTTTAGTTCTCAAAAACGAAAGAAGGGGGTCAAATAACGGTAGGATTGATGGCCTCTTAGCATGACTGTATGGACAAGACTGAGAAGCACAGAGAGGCTATGTGATTCCATGGCTATGGAAGAATATAGTCTAAATTTCAGGCCTCCTGAGAGTCTCCATGCATTGCTTTTTGTACCTTACATATTTTTGTTTATATACACATTCTTTTTCATCCAAGTCCTTTTTCACACCACTAAAATCTGTATAATTTTGGACCACTTTCAATCATTCTGTTAATGTTAAATCAGTAAGGAATCGTGCCTCCTTCTCTTTAAAGTGAAAGTTCTAAACAAATCAAAGTTTGGAAAGACTGTCTAAACTTCAGTTTTAGCAAGTAAATAAAACCACACACAATTCCATTGTTATTTTCCCATTTCGCAGTTCAAGAAATTTAGAACTCCAGTGACTCAGAAGATGATTTCCAGGGCAGCCTGGCAGTGAGCAGGAAGAGAAAACAGATTGTTTCGAGGAGACCCCTTTCCATGTCTATCCCTTTTACATGACATTCGTTTTCTCAGCTGCCTTTATCATCTGACATTCCACATAGTGGATTATTTGTTCATTGTTTGTCCCAGAATGTGAGCTTCTTGACAGGTAGAACTTGATCTAATGTTCACTGCTGTGTGCCCAGAACTTGCAGCAATGCCTGGAATGTAGTGGTTGCTCAATTATTTTGATACAATCATGAATTCGCTACATAGTTAGGTGTGCGGGGCAATAAACTAGGAACAGTGGTTACTTTTAATCCTGTAGGGATTCTGGGAAACTGAGACTTGGAGAGCCTAATAGTGGTAACTGATAGCACTGGGTTTATCTGTGTCTAAACGTTTTCCCCCAGTACAGAAGCCCATCTCCCATTCTTCAGACTAAGAAGTTAACTGTAAATTTCAAGATGCTCACCTTCTACTAAACATGTTTCCTTTACCCAGAGGAATGCTATAGCACCTACAACAAATGCCCCCAAATTATCATCATGTATATGCCATCACAAAGAACTAGAGACTTGGGGTCCAGTTTCTGTCCAGACACTGATTTTGCTCATAATTTTACTGATAATCCTTTGCAATTACCTGTTAGTCCTATATGTATTAATTAGATAAGCTCTGAAAGGTGCTCAGCAAAATGATTTTTAGAAATCATTCATACCTTCCCCTGACTGTAACTTCAAATATGTTTTACCTTAATCTCAGATTGATCTATCTTTGGCAGTAGTTCTTGGTCCTAGCTTTAATTTTCTCTGACTCTTACACTCCCTTTCTGGAACATTCTGTCTCAGTTGATTGATGAGAGGCAAACCTAGCTCACTTAAAAGAGCTTGGATATTTTGAAAGAAGCTTCACTCTTTATCAGGGAATGAAAATTAAAACACCCACTAGGCTGACAAAAATTAACCTGTTTGACTAGTGTGGAATATTAGGAATGCTCATACAGTGTTAGGAGAGGTGTCCTCTGAGCAATCATTTAGGGGGATGACTTGGCCATCTCTAGTTAAGGTAAAGATGTACAATTCCTGAAATTCAGTAATTCCACATCTACTAAGATCTTCTAGAGAAACTCCCACATTCAGGTAAATGTGTACAAGGTAATTCATTCCAGGAAAAACTGGAAACAGTCTAAATGTCTCTAAGTGGCAGAATGGATAAATACACAGTAATATGTAAAAATACGATAGAATAAGAAAATAGTATGGGATGCCATTTGTGTGCAATTGTGACCATACAAAATAATATATCATACATATTGGGACATTTGCATATAGCAAAAGTATGAAAACATGCACAGAAAGAACATACCAATTTCAGTATAGCAATAACCTCTGAGAAACAAGGGGAGGGAAAGGAAGCTGAGGTAGACGTAGAACATCAAATTCTATATCATT